TCAAATGAGCCCTTTATATTTTTGCGGAAAATCACGATAAGTGAAAAAATTGTGAATATTCATCATTTCTTTATTTTAGATAAATGTAGTTTTATTATTGGCTTTGCACAACGCAATATACTATTAATTCCTGTAGTGTTAATTTAATTTTCATAATTTTAATTTGAATTACATTTTTAATTTCATTACAATGTGATCCTTTTGTCACTCATCGTTAGAATTTGGAACAGAAAAAGACGTGTATAAAATTAGAGAGACCAAAGTGGAATTCAAATAATTTGTTTTTAATTTCACTTTAGTTTCTCTAACTTTGCATGTGATTTTTTTCGGTTCAAAATGTTAACAATGCAACGGATAATAGAGGGAGTACATTATAACAAAATTAAAAAATAAATTGAATCTATAAGAACCAAAGTGAAGTTTCACGAAAATTAAAATGATAGTATAGTTCACTGTAATAGAATAAATGATTATATTACGGTGCATACCCTTAACCTTTAAAGAGTATGTATTATATGTAAAGATTAATGCTTGAAACTCCCAAAAATGGGTGACTCCTATGACCTCCAATTGATGTGGACCACGTGTTTGTATATTTTTTTTCTTTCCTCTCTCTCTCACACAGGTGCGTGGGGGTTGTGTTTTGTGGGGGATCTATATCAAAATCGTGTAATTATGATATTTATAGGGTTAATAATTATAATTGAATTTTTTAGGTTGTGTTTGGTTTATGAATTTGAAGGAAAAAAAAAATGAGGCAAAATGTAAATAAAATATACTTATATTTTACATAAATTTCACACACTTTTTTCATTTTTTTTTTTAAATTTCTAGCCAAATCCATGAATCAAATACAACATTAAAGTCCTAATTAAAAAAATAATAATAATCATAACCAAACACCACATAAGTATAATTAGACACCTTTTGAATTATAATTAAAATAATGTTATAACTAATATCATAGTAAATCATAACTAATACCAAAGAATAATACTATATACACCAATTAATATATTAACTAGTGTACTAATTGATGATGCGACATAATTTAAGATATTTTTAATATTTGTAATTTATATAATGAGTGAGATTAAAAATAACGTCATAACTAGTGTTGGTACACTAATTAGTACATATAGCGCTACTACATACATAATATGTATATTTAAGTCATAATTAATATCATAATTGAATATTATAAATGTTATAACTAAAACGTATGCTACAATTCAAGAGGCATTTATTGTGAGATTAAGGTTTTGACCTATGAAAAGGCAACACGTGTCCACCTAGAGGAGGACCTCACACTTGGCATTTTATTTTGCAAAAAAGTTGAAATCGAGAATTTACTTAAAATGAGTATATGTACTAGAGATTACATTGATGAAATGTATGATTCATGACTAAAATAAATTTAAAAATTTTGCAAAATTGGGATCTAGAATTTACCTAAAATTAGTATATGTATTAGAGATTACATTGATGAAATGTATGATTCATGACTAAAATAAATTTAAAGATTTACTTTTTCTCTGGTTGAATTGGATTAGACCGTTAAAATTTTTTACTAATAAGAATCATTAAACGAAAATTTCTTATCAGTAAAAGTCATTAAATGAAAGTATTTTATCGGTAAAAATTTATAAAAATATGATCCAGTCAAACTTTTTCAAAAAATTTTACTGGTAAGCGTGTTCCGTTTAATAACTCTTACCGATTGGAGATTTTAACTGTCTAATCCAATTAAACTTTTAAATTGAGACAAGTTATTCCTAAATTTAAACTATTGATTCTCCAATAAATTTTGAATAAATAATTATGAGATTGTGTAGAAAAAATTATTAATTAATATTAAAATATCATGTGATCATATCCTACATCAATCATATTCCACGCTTACCCAACATGAATTCGTAACCCACCAATAACTTCTCGGTGAGTAGTAATGCTGAGCAAATAATCCGTAATGTAACGCCCTAACTTCCGGGCCGTTGATAAATTAAATCAATCTCAAATTTATACTTGCAGATAACTCATAATGTCTTTTTTTTTAGGTACATTGGAAAATAAAAGAGGGAAAGGAGGCTAGGCCCTCTCCCTCGAAACACCTAATATATCGGCTACCAAAAGGCCCCGTATCTCCATCGGGGGTTCATTTACAGCAAGTAAATCCTCCGGTTGCTCCGCTCCAAATTTCGCGAGAGCATCCGCACATGTGTTCCCTTCTCTCAGAATATGTTTGATTTCGCATGCACAGCCTTGCATGATGATTCTTGCGTCTTCTACTAAACCCCGGAATGGGAAATTATCTCCCGAACTCTCTGTCAACATCTTGACAACTTGTTCCGCATCCGTTTTAACAATTACATTAGTAAGGCCCCTTTGGAGGATGATAGTGAGGCCTTTGTAGACAGCCCACAATTCAGCTTCCAAGCTTGTGCAAGTTTCCAAGCGCCCATAGTAGCCACTGATCCATGTGCCCTGTTCATCCTGAAACAATCCACCAAAGCCCCCCGGTCCAGTTCCAGTTCCAATGCAACCATCGGCATTTAGCATGATGACACCTGCAGGAGGAGGAAGCCACTTAATTAGTCTACAAACTGATTTTGGGGCTGTTATAGATCTGGCAAATGCATTAAAACATTCTAAAGAAGTTTCCAAAATAAGTTTCACACTATCAAACACATTGGCAGCCTTGTTTTCAAAAATCTTTTTGTTTCTATTTTTCCAAGTATGCCAAAGAGTGGTTATAAAAATTGTTGCCCAAGGAATTCCATACGTAAATCGTTTTTTATTAGTCGAATTGGTGGTAATCCAGTCCTGTAGTGAAATACTCAGGCCATTCACATACCACCTTCGACCAAAAATGGTACTCCACACTTCCATTGCTACGGGACAAGCCCTTAGCACATGGTTCAAATCCTCTATGCCCCCACAAGAAGGGCAACTTGAATCCACAATGATACCGCGTTTTAGACGCATGCAGTTAGTGAGGAGTTTCCCATGCAACACGAGCCATAAGAATCCTTTAAATTTTTTAGGGATCTTAAGTTTCCACACCCACTTCCAATGAGTCACATTGGGTGAGTGAGCTTGTAAGAGATCATAAGCAGCTGTGGAGGAGAAATCTCCATCAGTGGAGCCCTGCCAACTAGGTGTATCCGTGAGATTTACCTAACGAGGGAGATGTATTTTGAGAATTTCGTGAACCAACTCTGGAAGAACAAGAGTATTGATAGCATGCATGTCCCATTGACCCTCCAGATCAATCAAAGTATCCACAGTATTGGAATTGGTAAGACTGTGGTTAGGGACAGCTTCTACCCAAGGCCTATCCCCACACCACCAATCATGCCAGATCCGAACTTTAGCACCATTTCCAATAGTCCATTTCACACCTTTTTTCAACAGACTTCTGGACTTCATAATGCCTCTCCAAATAGGAGAAGCTTGGCCTTTCCTTGACCAGCTTTGGACAGTGTGGTGTTTGAGATAATTAGCTTTTAAAACCTCAGTCCAAAACCCATTGCCATCGCTCACCAATTTCCACCCAAGCTTAGCAATGGGGGCTAGGTTAGACCACCATATTCTTTTTTCCTGCATACCTTATCCCACTTGATAAGGTGCACTTTTTTCTTGTCCGGGGTGTCACCCCATAAAAAGTTTCGATTTAGCTTGTCCATATCTTCACAAACCCCTTTAGGGAGTAACTGAGTTTGCATCAAGTAAGCTGGAATGGCGGATGAAACTGATTGAATGAATGTAGCACGACCCATCAAGGATAAAGTATGGGTCTTCCATCCAGCAAGTTTTCTTTGCATCTTCTCCAAGATGGAATTGAAATATCTCCGACTCACTCTATTGTGCAGTAGAGGAACCCCAAGATATTTCCCCAGATCCTCAGTAAGAGGAAATCCACACCTAGAACTCAAAGCTCTAGCATGAATTCTATCCACATTAGGTGAAACAAAAAGTTTTGATTTGTGAGGATTTAAATTTAACCCAGAAACAGTACTAAAATCATTAAGGGTCGTAATTATACTCTCACAAATAGAGAGCTCAGCTGAGGCAAAGAGCATCAAATCATATGCGAAAAATACATGGGTAATACAAGGACCACCCCTACACACAGAAAGGCCTTTTCATTTTTTCCTCTCCACTTGGTGGTATATCATATTAGAAAGGCGTTCCATGCATAACACAAACAGATAGGGGGAAAGAGGGCCACCCTGCCTCAAACCCCGGCTCGGAGAAAATTCCTCTAACGGTTCACCATTCCACAAAACTGCCGTTGTGACCGAAGTAACACACTCCATAATGAGTTGGACTAAGGTCTGGTCCAGCTCAAATTCCTGAAGGGTTTGGTGCAAGAAGTCCCACGAAATATTATCATAGGCTTTTTCCAAGTCTATTTTGAGAACCATACCACCGTTCTTGCCCCTCTTGTGGTTAAGGGTATGAATAATTTCCTGGGTTATAATGATGTTGTCACAGGTGGTCCTCCCAGGGACAAAACTGCTTTGGTTAGGTCTCACTAGGTTGGACAAGAGAGGTCTCAGCCGATTAACAATGATCTTGGTGATAATTTTGTAGGTTACGTTGCAAAGGCTAATGGGTCTGAATTGCTTTATATTTTCTGGGTTTTCAATTTTAGGAATAAGAACAATCAAGGTTTTGTTAATCTCTTTGGGTATAAGTTGATGTTGAAAACAGTGCTTCACAAATTCACACACCGAGGGGCCTACTATATCCCAATAGGTGTGAAAGAAGATTGCCTGGAAACCATCAGGTCCAAGAGCTTTAAAGGCTTGGATGTTTTTAACAGCAGCCCAGATCTCCCCATTGTTCACAGGTTGACAAAGCATCATATTGTCCTCCTGCGAAAACTTTCAAGCAACCAGACCATACCAGTGTTCCAATCTGACAGTGGGTTTGGGCCTAAATAGGTTTTTGAAAAAATTTTGAACCAAATTTTTTAACTCTTGGGAATGGTCCACCTAATCCCCACTGTCAGATTTGAGCACATCGATCTTCAGTTTCCTCCTCTTAGCAATGATGGTGAGGTGGAAGTATTTGGTGTTACGATCTCCTTGAGTGATCCATTTAGAGTGGGATTTTTGAAACCATAAAAGTTCTTCTTGATAAAGAGTATGGTTATATTGGGACACCAACTCCATCTCAAGGAGATGAAGGTTATGAGAATAGTACCGAGCTTGGGATTTTTGAATCCCTTCAACGCGCCCAATCAACCATCTTTTATTTCTAAAGATGTTACCAAAAACATGCTTATTCCAGGCCGAGGCTTTTTGAGCTAGAGTTTCCAGGGATAAGGAGATGGATGGGTTCAAGAAAACCCAGCTATCAGCCACCACAGCCCTGAATTCCTCATGGGAAATCCATGCAACCTCAAATCTAAAGGGTTTAGCAGAGGAGTTAAGGGGGTGCATACCTTGGGTGTATACCATTAACGGGGAGTGATCCGAATAGGTCCAAGGTAAGTTGCGAACACAACCATCAGGAAATAAGGTGTGCCATTCCGAGTTACACAGAGCTCGATCTAGACGAACCATAGTGTTTGCCCATCCCTTACGATTATTAGACCAGGTAAGTCTTGGCCCAACACAGCCAAGATCCATTAAGCTACATTTGTTAATTCGTTCCACAAATTGCCTGCTGCGTCTTTGACTTTGTGCGGCATTACTAGAGTTCTGGTCAGAAAATGCCTGTTTCTCATTCTGATGGCTAAAGTCATTGAAGTCGCCAGCAAGAAGCCACGAGCCTTGGTTATTCTGGACAGTGCTTTCCAAATGTCTCCAGAGCACCTCCCGCTGGGTCACATTAGAACTCGCGTATACGGCTGAGAGTAACCAATCCGGGTAATTATGGCGAGATACCATGGCTGTAATAACCTGGGAGTTAATGTCGGTTACCCTAACATTGGCTTAAGCTGGATTCCACAGCACCCAAATGCCTCCGCTTCTGCCGATAGGATCGACATATGTAGAGGCTGTAAAGCCCATTCTGTTGAAGAACATACCCATTGAACTTAACTCCACCTTAGTCTCCATGAGAACCATAATATCTGGGTGTTAGGTTCGCACTAACTCCTTCAGAGTTCTCTTAAATCTGTTATTTCCGGCACCTCTGCAATTCCAAAAAAGCAAATCCATGGATGACATTCGGTGTAATTCGGGCAGGTGGGAGTTGTTAGGAACTCCTATAATGGCACGTACTTCATCATACCATTCCTCCATTGTCTTCAATGGAGTCACTGTGACCATATGGCTCTCCACGGTGTCGGTGATTTTCCAGTACAGCTTGATCCTCACTGTCACTTCTTCTATCCACCACTCTAAATCTACGTGGTGAGATGCTTCGTTCCCTGGTTCCAAAACCAACAGAACACTGTCCAGATACACTCTGTGATGCTCCATTTTCCATTGATGTACGTCCAGGAGCTCTGGGGGTGGAAAAGCGTTCTGAGTCTCCATGGGTGAGGCTAGCCTTATCAGGTGGTTTTTTCGGTAGTAGATCCGGTGATGGAGCACACGCTAAAGGGCTGAGAGGTCTGGAGGTGTAAATAGAGAGTGCAAAACCTTGACTAGAAGTAGAACTTACCCTCTGGGTGAGCTCAGGGCTCAGACCATGGGAGTGACTGGTACCATCACCACGTATCGTAGCTTCATTCAAGGGACTTTTTTCCTTCCAGATTTCTCCCTTATCAACATGCTGTTGAGGATTAGTGGGCTCCTCACCTGGATTTTGAATATTTTTTAGGCCATGGCCTGTCTCCATATAGTGAAACGGTGGGCCTATGCCCTGAGACTCAGAATTTTCAACTACCAGCCCAGTATAGGCTTCTTGAGCATTAGGATGTTCATCATCCTGTTGGAGCGCCTGGAAGTTATTACCTCTGGGGCTTGGGTCTGCCTTGTGATTATGTATCCTATTAGGCTTTCTGCGTCTGTTCTGGGCCTTCATCCATAGGCCATATCTCGGTTGGTTCCAGTCACTTGTATCCGCACATTCTCTGGGTTGGGTGTTTTGTGTTGCTGCAGGCCCACGGTGCCCTTCGTCTGTCCCAACAGTAACTGGCTCAGAGGTCCTTACCGGCGCCGGCCACCTTTCGCTACAATTTTCCCTCCGGTGGCCAACCCTGCCACACAAAAAACAAAATGAGTGGATGTGCTCGTATTCAACTGTATACTTATACTTACCAATTATGAAGTGGGAAATCAGAGGCTTTCGTAGATGCATTTCCACACACACCCGGGCATACTTGCCCCTTGCCGCCATAGTTGTGTTGATGTCCACCTTAAGTGGGTTACCAAAAGCTTTTGCAATATGGAATAAGATCCTCTCACTATAATACTCAATTGGGAGATTGGGGAATCTCATCCAGATCGCTGTGGTATCCTCTTCGGCCTCGTCTGGCTTAAAATCATGTTGCCATTTGCGAACGGTGACATAGTGGTCCATCACCACCCATGGTCCTCCAGTGAATACTCGAGTATAGTCCTCAATCATATCAAATTTGACAATAAAAAACCCATGCCCGATATCCAATGTCTCAAAGTCAGCTTGTAGTCCCCATAATTTCTTCATTTTGTTAACAAATAGAGTGTAGCCAATAGTTTTGCCTAACAGCCTAACTATAAGGCATTTCCCCCATGGTCGGCGGGCCTTTTTCAAGAGATTGGCTGGGATACGAATCCTTGGAACTTGTAGAGGTCCTTCATCCGTATCCTCCATTTCTTCTCCCTGTTCTATCTCAACATCATCATCATCTGCCTCCTCATCGGAGATGGAATTGTCTGGGTCCATTTCAAAGCTCTTTTCGTTTGAATTTTCATTGAATCGGGAGTGCATCAGAGCTTGTTTGAAGGACTTAGCTTTAGCGTCGTCGGGGTTAACCACCTTGGTCGCAGCTTCGCGTTGCTGTTCTAACGGGTTAGGCACACAGCCGTCGCCGCATGTTTCCATGGTGGTTTCATTTGCGTCGGAGCCCTGGCTGTCCCCATTTCCAGAGGATTCGGTCATTCCTATATCTGTGGAGACAATCGTGCTTTTGATTTTCTTCGTGCTTCTAGCGAGGTGGTCTGCTTCCTCCGTAGATCGACCATGGACGCAAGTTTCCTGTGCAACGGTCATACTTTCTCTCTCATTAAATGTTAATTTTAGATAACTCATAATGTCAAATATACAAATCACCTCCATAAATAATTAACACAAATGTTTCCAAAAATATAAATTGTACAAATCTCCAAAAATAATATATAGTTGTAGACCCAAAAATCTCCAACTCAAATAATCTCTTTAGAACTTCAAATCTGATGTCCAATAAATCTCACCGCACCTGAAAATTAATTCAAAAGTATACAATACAACAGGAATAACAAGGCTCGGAAGGATAATAAATCAACAGGGATCCAATAATTACACAACCGATTAGATTCGATAATCAAGAAATTTACCAAATTGCACAAACAAGTCAACTAGACGTATGGCAATTTATCCAGGACCAAACACCCAGTTCTACTCAGTACATGACCAGTGACCGGCCTCACCCACCTCACCTAAACACAACCGCTTATCCAGGCTATTGGTTCAAGCTATGGGCAATGTCCACTCGATCGATACAGAGCATTCTCACGTCATTTAGCCAGACAAATTAACACTGATTACACATAACAACTTCACAGAATTTATCAAACGACTAGAATAATCAAACGTATCAATGAGAATGATTTCACAAAATTTAACATATGACCAAGATAATCAAGAAGTATACAAATGAGAAGTAATTAAAATAAACACTTTTTGCAAAGAGATTTAGAATAAGCATATTGTATACCACCCGAATTGCTTCAAAACAGTTCCATGACCACTTGATGCAAAATCCCTCAAACATCAATACTTTAATCATCTGTAATATCACCATAAATCTCCAAAGATTGTGGATCGAAAAGGTATGTAAAGTTTAATAAAATCTACAACTCTCCTCTTCAATAAAATGCTAACTCTCACTTTAAATACTCTTAATCTAAACTCTCAATTTCTATAATTTAAGAGAGAACAATATGAGAGAGAGATATGGATAGACCAAGAAGAAGAATGGAAAGAAGTTGAGAGAATGAGTTCTAATTTATAGGCAAAACAAATAGTAGCCTCCAAGTAAAGTTCGAGAGAAAGAAAGATAGTTGATTTGTAAGCAAAGAAAAGTTGCTTGGAGGAAAAGAACCTTTGCCTAGAGAGAAAGAAATAAATAAATAAATAAAATAGAGGAATAATGATAATAATGAAATGGAGATAAAAATGAAACAAATAGAAAAAATAAGTTAGGTTCTCATCTAAAAATCTCACCACAAAACCACCACCAATGTCTCTCACTAAAATATTAATACCTCAAAAATATAGGATTTCACACGTAAAATCCGTAATCCGATCCGGTCCAATCAAATTCGGTAGGTTTGGATTGATTTTTTGAATCCGTTATTCGGTTTCGAATTGAAAAATTAAAAATCCGTAGTCTACGGATTGGTTTCGGATTGATCCCCACGATTTTGGATTGGAACCGATCCAGACCAGATATAAATAGCTTATATTTATATTGTACACCCTCTCACATAGTATCTTCTCTTATTCTATATAAAACCTAAACCCGCATAGTATATTCTTTTATTACTTTTATTTGTTGGTTTTTAGCTTTAATCTGTAATGGTTTAAATACTTATGTGGAACTAGTTTTTTTATGATTGTTGAAATTCTAGAACAGTATGTCGCCATTATGAAAAATATGTTTTTTTTTTGTGAAACTAATATGATATTATGTTTATATTTTTATGAAATTAAAATGTTTTACATTTTTTTTTTTGTTATTTAGTTATATGAATACTTGGTCCTAAAGTGATCTAATCTGTGTTTAAATAGATTAGTTAGAGCATCTACATCAAACTAGCTAAAATCATTTTTCAGCTAAACTAGTGATATTGTTCATCAAAAATAAACATCCATCAGTCTCGCTACAGTATCTCGCTAATTAATGATTGTTACATTATCTCAGTACAACAAGTGAGATACTTTTCATCACTACAACACAAAGATTAGTGTTATCGGATGTTCGCCCTGGACGACGACCATTTTTTATTTTTATTTTTTATATTTTTTAAGAATTATTTGGTTGGTAACTCATCAATTTAATAAAAAGAGAAAGAATAACAAACACAATAAAAAAATAATATTTTAATAAGATTAAGTTAGAATAGAGAATTTGATACGGTACTAAAAAAGTGACTAGCTAAAATAATAAAAAAGTTTTTTTAACTATAATTTAACTAAAAATTTGAAGAAACTAGTGTAAATATTCTTAAAATTAATTCCACAATTTAAATAAATTTGATTAATTTTAATTTTTCAAAAATCTTAAATAATAAATTGATACTGATTTTATTCCAATTCAGACCATATTCACCTGTAGTAGTCTCTTTATTTCGCCGTACGATGGAGGCACGTGTAGTTCCAAACTTCCAAGTCGTCCCCTCTTTCGAATGAAAACCGTGAGAACTTTGCAAATCAAATATCCATCTCATCTCACATCACAGCTCTCAAATTTAAGTCTCAAAGCTTCACTCCGACAATTCAACTCCAAATCAACCCTCGAAACCCACTCAGAGCTTCAATTTCAGTAACTGTCTTTCTCTATCTACATGTGTATATATATGATGTGTTATATGTATGCAATTTGTTTTTGAAGATCAACACGACATTTCTGTGATTGAAACCCTAAAATTCAACCAGATCTGCATTTGGTTTAAATTTTTAGAAATTTTGATCGACTTTATATTTTTTTGTCAATTCAGGGCTTTGGGCATGGGAAACTGTGCATTTCTTTCAGGCAGTGCGAAATTGCTTTGTTCTTTTTCTTTATTAGTTTAAGATCTAGTTGGTTGCTAAGAAAATGTGAATTTTGAATCACATATTTATGAAGCACCCCTGAGATTATTTTTAAGTAGAAGCAACAGATAGAAAGTGGTAACAAACAATTTTACTGTCACTGAGCCTTACACAACCTCTTGGCTTAATTTCGTTGATATTTAATTTTGTGGGAGCAAATCAATTAATTAAAATGCTTTTAATTTTTATTTTTTTTGTATTTTCATGATGGGTTACATTACATGGGTAAATCAAATTTGTTTATTTCATCCTTCTTTTGGTTGTGCTTTTTGGGACAAAATTCAACTATTCCAAAGCACTGACAAATTTGATTAAAGAAATTGGAGAAAAATGCATTGCAATGACACTCACTAACAATTTCTTTATGTTGACTGAATATGTTCAATAAATGAGATTAAACCTATGTTATACGGACTCTTCAAAATAAATCAAATGCCCATGTTGGAGACCTCACACTCGGGCACGGATATGAGATATGTGTCGGATGCATTTCATTGGACACTTCTTATATAATTGTATTTAACACTATTATTATATATGCACATATTGTTTATTGTATAATTGTTATAAATGCCTTTTTGACACTGTAAATTACATATAATACCATTTTATATCACTTACTTGATTAAAAATATAAAAATATTACTTTTTTTTTTTGCCAAGTCTACGTACCCTTGAATTTATGGTTTGATGAGTCCGACCTCTAGATACATACCCGTACCCGACACTGATACCCAAGTTCATGTAATATAAGATTAAACTAAGGTAAGCACTGGTCTTGGTGACCTAATTTTAATTGATTTGTATAAATATATGAACCTCAGATTTGTTATATGAATTCAATTTTTACTTTGTACCGTGACTAATGTTAGGAATTAACCCTTCCTATCCAAGATAGGTGAGACACGAAATAACAAATTAGGAAGAAAAAACGAATTAAACAAATCACGCACACAAGAACACAAGGATTTACATGGTTTACCCCAGAATAGGGTTACGTCCACGGCTGCTATAGTTTTCACTCTGATCAGAAAAAATACAACTCTCTTAACCTAAAAGAGGCACCTCTTAACCTAAAAGAGGCACCCCCTGGAACCCCCTCCCCCTTGGGGTGAGGCACCCCCAAACCCCCCATTGAACCCAATGTTTGAGTGAACAGTACTTATCAGGGTCTACCGACCCAACAACTAATCCACATTACATTCAAAATTCTATCTCGTTGCTATTGATGATGTTGAGCTATATAAACAAACTCATGGTTAGGCCAAAGCCAAATGCTTAGTAGTATATTTTACTGTTGTGCTAGATGATTGCATCGTTTCTACATTTTATAATTTTTCGTCATGGAAATTTTCCCTTTTCGGTCAGTTTTGCATGTCTTTGCTGCCTGTTTATATATATATATATATATATAAAATGGGAAAAAAAAAAAGTTGTTTGGTGCTTTGCACAAAATTAACTGGCTAGTGGTTGACACAGGCAACTCTGGTATAATTTAATGTTATTTATAGTTATCTTTTCGTTGATGTTGTTGTATCCCAGTTATATTTATCTGAAATTAGGAGCCACTCTTCTCTTAATCTTGATTTACAAATTGTTATTTTAACCATATCAGTTTAAAAAAACTACATTATGTACAATAGTTTTCATTTTTCATTTCCTTTTTTGGTAAAGATTTCTTAACTGTTAATGTTGAGTGTCAGTGGATGGGCAGACCCAAATGGATGATGAAGCTGGGAGAATTGAAACTTCTATGGGAGGGGAACTAAGTTCATGTGAATCTCATAGAAATCAAGAACCATATGAGGGGATGCTATTTGACTCGGAAGAAGCTGCAAGAACATTCTATGATGAATATGCCACTAGGGTTGGATTTGTAACTCGTGTTTTATCTTCCCGAAAGTCAGAGCGTGATGGGTCAATTATTTCACGGGGACTTGGATGTCGAGCAAGTCCTGAAAATCAAAATTCAGAGAGAGTTACACTCCAAAAGCGAGACAGGCGACGAGAAGGTTGTACGGCAATGATTTTAGTGAAAAGAGAGAAACCTGGAAGGTGGGTTGTCAGAAAATTTGTGAGGGACCACAATCATCCTCTGGTTGTTTCATTGCCAAATAGACGTCCAACTCATGTGAGTTTCCAACACCTTTCGTAACTACGTACCACATAAATTTTTTAATGTTTATTCTTTTGATTATTGTTTATTTCAATGTAAAATTTTCAGTAATTAGTTATTTTGTGTAGAGTTTAGCTCTATCTTTTCCATTTTTTTTGTTTTTTTGATTTGAGATAAATTGACATGCTATCCTGTTATTTACTTTGTTTTCTGTCCATTCTTGTCCATGTCATGATGTAAAGGCTTTACCAAAGGCTTCATCTAGTTTTTGGTCCACAAGTGATAGGGTTTGATGCACTGAATATGCATCTTTTCTACATCTTTAACCAGAAGTTTAACTTTTGCAAAAACAGGAAAGAAATACTTCAATTGAAAGGAAGGAATCTTAGAAGGAAGACCATAATCAACCCAAAATGGAAATAAAAAAGAGATTGTAGAGATTTAGAACCCATGCAAACTACTATGCAAAGTTCATGTTATTTTTTTGTTTTTCTCTTCTTGAATCAAGCCTCTAGTTTTGCAGGAATTCTCCTTTATCATAAAACAATTAAGGGCCTATAGATAAATCAGTGATTTCACAGGGAAGAGCAACATAAGTCACAACCTTAAGGATCAGAGGTGCTCCGTCTCAACGGGATGATTTTTTAGCTCAATTTGTTTTCCTTAGACTTGAGAACAATACAGATGTTATTAAGTTCTCTCAAGTTTCAACAAAAAAAAAAATAAAAAATTTGATCGGCGAAAGTCAGTAGTTAATTATTAGATTAGCACTTGAGGCTGAACTCCCACCCTCTCCCTGCAACCACTCAAGTCTTGCCTCTCATTCCACTCCTAAGAGTAAAACCCAATACCTCTCTTGGTGGCCAAAGGCCTAGCCACACAGGCTATAACCCCTTGGTTTCCCAAGTCCCAACATACTAAGTTGTAAGAATGAAAATAAATGTACTCAAACCTTTTTTTTTCTCATGAAATCATTTTTTGCTTGATTATTGGATTCCCTAGAGACAACCATCCATTTGATTGAACTTGACAACTCATTGGAGGAGGGTGCAAAAAGACACCATATAACTTGAGAGAAAGAGAGAGAGGGAGGGAGGGAGAGGTTTAGATCTCATCTTGAACGTCTAACTACGAATCACAGACACCTCTCTGGAGGTCCCGTACTATGCGTCCCATTTTAAATTTTTTTTATTGAAATAGCATATTTAAGATTGATGAATTTGATGAAAATAAATATTTAAGATAGAAAAAAATATAATATTAAAAAATGTGACAATAAATATATAAAATTTTATGCTTTGCACGTGTCTTTGGTGTGTTGTGTCCTAATATTTTTTTGAAAATTTGTGTGTTTGCGTGGCCTTGTCATGTCACACGTTTGTGTCCGTACTTCGTAGGTACCGAGGGTGTGAGCTATCTTTAGAATCAATATGAGTTGCCCCTTTTGAATCCCATACATGAAAATGCAAGCTTTCAGAACCCAAAGTGCTACAACGTATGTGTGAGCCACCTCTTGAACCCCACCAGGACCAAAGTGTTGTATTAAGTACAAGCCACTTATTGAACCTCATGTATGTAAATCTAAAAAGCCCAATGGATATGGGAAGTGGTCTACTTGCATCCAATTAGCCATTCATCAAATTATGGCCAAGGTTTTAAGCAATATTTTGAAAATCGAACCGGACTAGCAGGTTCAATAGGTTGACCCGTCGACTAATCTAAACTCCGGCCCGGATAAACCCTTGAACCCTCTTTAGTTCGAAAACCAACTTATTTTTGTTAAATTGGTGAATCCTACGGTTGAACTGGCCGAACTAAAAGGAGCAATGCACTTGCTCTCATTGTTCTAGAAATAACAAAAATCAAATATTGTTTTTGGAGGCTCGAAACCGAGATATCTTACATGTTAGCCCATTGCTATACCACTAAACATCACAAAACCTGGTTAATCAACAATGAAAATATATTGTATATTTATCTTAAAATATAAAATTAATTTAAATAAATATATCTTGATACCTATATTTTTATGTAATTATAATTTTAAATAATTTATGAGGTAATTATGATGTCACACTTTGATTCTAGTTGACCTGGTAGTTGAACCAATGACCCTTGACGTGGTCCTTTTTTTGGTTTGATCAGTGCTTTGGGTTTTAAGTAATGGTGTTGGCTACCATAACGGTAAGTCAGTAATGAAGTGTAACGATCGTAGCATAATTATGGCGGCAACCAAAACCATATATTTTTTAATTCTTTACACAACTTTAGGAACACACACCGATACACATGTTTTTATTTTAGAATTGCATTTAGTGAGGTTCGAAATAGTTTTTAGTGGAATTTGTTTGGTTTTTAACTATGATCCATTATATATATATATATTAGTTTTTATACTAGTTTTAAGTTGCTATAGGGTTTTTTTGTTTCCTTTTGTTGCATGCGGCAGTGCTACATCCCCACAATTTTCTCCCACAAAAGCACTCCTTCACAGATTCTTACCTGTAAGAGTTCACTCACTTACTCTATAGCGGTAAACTCTTACCTGTAAGAGTTTGTGAAGGGGTGCTTTTGTGGGAGAAATTTGTGGGGATGGATCATTTTCCTTGTTGCATGTATTTAGCTGTCTTTAATTTACTAATTGCACATAACTTTTCACTTGTTAAGGAAAAAAAATGAAGTATGTTTAATATTAAAAATGATAGCCTCATAAACATATGTTCATCATACAAATTGTAAACATACTAATGTAAAAGCACATAACATGATGTCCAAGCTTTGTTCAACAAATCTAACCTAAAACCAAATAGATGTAAGTTAATAATCAAGGAATAAAGTGAGAAAGTAACGAAAGTTTGGAACAAAAAAGAGAAGGAAAGCAAGCTTAACCTTGATAGCAACTCAAGTCTTGTAGAACTTAAAGATTGGACACTCAAAGCATGTAGATCTAAGATTTAGCATAACCTGTGTTTTTTTCACCATTTTTTTTTTTTTATCTTCATCATTTTAACTACTAGAAAAAATTGTGGGAAAATGGTTGTATATACTATACAAAATAGAAGCGGAATGATCATAATGGCTATAACGGCGCTGTAAAAGCCACGGTCTTTATGTAATGGTGGTGGCTGTTATGGCTATGACTTTCTGGCACACCGATATAACAGCCTTTTAATGGGTGGTGGTAACCACCGAAATTGTTGTGTAACAGTTGTTGCCAATTTTTAAAACCATGATAACGGCGTGTTTTAGCTTATATTTTCTGTACTTGTATTCCATATATGTTAGTTCTTGTTATTAATGCTGAGTGCTGACACATATTGATGTTATCTATGCCTAATTCATGATCCTGATATTTTGTTGTTCACTGAGTTATTTAGCTCATTCCATTATTCTCTAACCATTTTAGGTATCAAAGCTTGGTGGAATTGAAGTGATTTGCATGTGTTATACTAAAAGAGACATAATTAAGCTTAATGAAGATTTCATAATTGTATCTTGGTAATTCATGTAAAGTATTGTCTAGTGTATTTTAGTGGCATGTATCAAAGTGATATATAGGTTCTTGTAACATGCAAGTAGGTGTGTTGCTGATAGCATTGTTGGGAATGGGATGAGAAACCTAGGCACTTGCTCTATTTCTTCTTTTACAGGTTTCAGGATAATCTTCTGCTAATATTATTATTGTGACCTAATGGATCGAGATATATATGGGCACTGTAGTTAAGTCTAGGCCTTTTAGAAAATGCTACTGATGAATGCCATAGGAGAAAGTCAAGAGAAGAGTGAAAAGAAGAGGGCCATAGCCCTACACAATGGGCACAACCTTAATCTCAATATCAATAATCCACAGCTAACTGTTACAATGCAAAACCTAACATTTATAGGGCTGAAAACTCTAATTCAAAATAGGAAACTAAATCCTACTATTATTAGACACTTATTTTTTACTTAATAAGAAACTAAATATCAGTAAGATCTTAATTATAACTATAAATAAACATAAATATTACAATTTATTAAATTACAAATAAAATCTCCAACCAAAATCAGTGCGTGCCCATTCGGCATCAGCTACTGGCCGATCACAAGGGTGGATTCCTAAAGGTGCAGGGTCTGAGTCATGCCAAAGAGGCCTCTTGCCGCCACCAGACTCGAAGCCCGCCTCTCCCTTGGATATGAACTGAAACCACCCACCTATGTTGAAGCCTCCCTCAGCAAACTGCACAGCCACCCGAGGTCGACCACCCTCAACAGTACAGCTGTTATCAGACCTCTACCTCTTTGAATCAACGAAAAACCATCATCTATTGCTTCTCCAATGTCAGTATGATTGAGATTTTTCCACCCAACATAAACAATAACCCTCCTTTCCACCATTTCTAGGCATCAACAATAGTAGTAATTCTACTAATGTAATGTAACGTAACACGTCCTGATTGTTTGAAACACCAGGATTGGCAACATGCTCAATTTGATAAAATGATGTTTCCCTAATGTTGTGTTGAGTCCATTTATATGTCATCGTAATGATTTATGCTTGAAATTTCTAATCAATTAAATGTAACTTTTCTATTATCTGCTTGTGCAATTCTTTTTGTAGGATGAGAAAGATAAGAAAATTCAGGAACTGACTGCAGAATTGCGGGTTAAGAAACGACTCAGTGGAGCATATCGTGACCAGCTACTTTCTCTCATGAAAGATGTCGAAAACCACAATGAACATCTATCAACAAAAGTCCAAGTTGTTCGTAACAACCTCAAAGAACTTGAAGCTAAAAGGAAGGAGCTTTTACTCCATAGATAGCCTGATCATGTAGAGTAAGTACCTTTATGACGTTTCTTCTTCAAATTAGCTAGTCGTGCATGTTCATTCATCCTTAATTTTGTAGTCCCTATTAATCTCCTATACTTTTTTAGTATGGAATTGATGCTTAATTAAAGTTTGGCATGCCTTTACAAATATACAAGGGAAATAAGGCTATACTATGAAATGGAGCATCTTTTAACCTTTTACCAAAGATCAGTTCTAGGATTTCACTCGACTAAGTTGTTGCCCCCTTTTGCAATTATTGGTGATGATGCCTTCTCTTTCCTTTCATGCCACATTCAGGGCGATTTTTTATAGATAATCTTTTCTTAGATTTATTTCTAGTTGATTTAGATTTTTTCTTCGTTCTTTTTTTTTTTTCCTGATGAGTAATGTAAGTCGCTACCAAAAATATAAATTAACTAATTAAACAATTAAACCTTAATAGATTGAGGAAAAGCCACACCTTTGATGTCCTTCGCTATAACTAATCTACCAATCATTGTCGGCATCCTAACCATTTTAACTTGACCCGTCACCTAAAGAATCAGCAACGCTCTAGCTTGTATGTATGACACATTGTAGCAGAATACGACGGCAATATATCACGGTATTGTTGATATCTCATTGTGATATTGTAATTATGGAGAAGCACAAATTTACATACATTTTTCAATCTGTGTATTTTGCAATTGCTGAGAAATAAGTTGCATTATGTGCTTCTGAATAACTTGTTTTATGTTTTAAAAAGTAGTGTATAAATTTTAATTGATTTCAATATTGGAAAATGCGAAGAACTTGGCTTAAAAAGATTCAAAGACTATTTGGCATGCTTCTACTTCGTAATAGAGTTTCCAAATTCCAAAATACACATCATTCTTAATTCCTCACTTCACCAGTTCTTAATATTCAAGTACATAAATTGCAATATAAAGTGGAGCAGCACCAAGAAGCAGAATAATTTTGTTTTTTTTAAAAAAATTTAAAATAATAATAACTTAGTGCTTGAATGACAAATAAAAATTGCTTCTTCTTCACTTACAAGGAAGAAAAGAAAAAACCACCTACTCCGTCTTGATACGAATATGCGATGCTATACAATCCGGAGTAAAGTTGCACGGTTTCAACTGTGCTTGTCAGTTTTTCATTGTGCATGCATGCTCTCTCTCTCTCTCTGAACAGGCGCATGTTTCTCTATTAGACCTCAATTTTCATGGAAGTACTTGCCACTTACCATATACCTGTCTCATGGTTTGCAGTGATACTGAACTTCTAACATTTTCATCCGAATGACGAAAAGGAAGCGGTGGCAGAGCCAGAATGATAGCTGTAGTTATGTAAGAAGCATTGGAAAAGCTGCTGCAGAGTGGAAAGAGTTACATTGGCTGCGGTTTCGTGACATCAAAGCCCATGAGGCCATGGTTTGTCTTTTAAATTGGTTCTAGAAAAATAACCAAAGGACAGTTAGGGTTTCAGAACAGTTGATTAGGGGATGACAATTTGGCATAAGTCTGTAGTTAATACATTGAGTCCTACAAAATTTAAGATGGAATCTTCAGGATTGTTTGTGTAGGTTCCATTAAAATTGATGTAGGTTGTCTCATATTCTAAAGCAATGAGGCATTTTTTTTTTTAAACTGTTGTACTTCTTAGTTAAACACCAATTGACATAAATGCTTTGGGGGTCATAGTTGGATGTATTTTCAATGATTTCTTGGTTATTTTTGTCATATTTAATTAGATGGGATCGCGCTTATTCACCTGTACCTCTACTTGTACGGGCTGATTCTAAATTATAACAAAATTAATTGAAAGATGTGTAAACAGATGAAACCATATAGTTTTAAATTCTTTTGAAATATCACTGTTTTTCAAAATTCTTTTGCTTTTTCTGAATCTCATTTTTGGCTCTAGAAAATTGAGCTCATTTTTCAGAAGATTAAATGTTTTGTTTTTCGTATTTTTTTGTATTTAGTGATTTTTTTTTTTAATATTATATACAATTTTTTTATTTTTTAGATACACCTAATCTAAATAAATATGTTTAAAACTTATAATATTTGTGAAAAAAAATTTAAAAATTCACCAAATTGAAAAAATATATTTAAAAAAAATGAAAATTTAATACATTTTCATATTTTGTTGTATTTAATGAATTTTTAAAATATTTTTGTATAAATTTTTTAGTTTGTAAGTATATTAAGATTAAGTAGATGTAAAAAAATTTAAAAAATGATTAAAATTACTTTTTAATTTGTATTTTTTTTACTTTTAGTGAATTTTTGTAATATTTTAATTAATTTTTTTTTCGATTTTAGATCCAATTAATTTAAATGTCTAAAAAGTACAAATTTTGTGAAACTTTTTTTTTTTAAATTGTCTAAAAAGTACAAATTTTGTGAAACTTTTTTTTTTTAAATTCATTAAATACATTTTGATTAGATATTTAAAAAATTTGTACAAATTTTGTACTTTTTGAACAGATTTAAAAAATTTTAAAAAAATTTATTAAAACGTTCAAAAAAACTAAAAATATAAATTAAAAACTCAAAAAATTATTTTTTAAAACTCCAAATCAAACAGAGTAAGTGGCAGTTTGGATTGGGTTCAAGCCCCTAACGTCCATATTTGTGGGCAATTCATATTCATAGAAATAAAACTCACTTTGGAAATATTATCCACCAGCCAGCGGTGTATTTGGTCTTCTGATCAACTGGGCAACAGAGGATTCATTACTCATAATTTTTAAGCCTCTACATCTAATAATCCAATCAATACCCCTCCATCAAATTCACAAAGAAATTGTTGTTGCCCAAAAAACTTGAAAGAGAAATTTCACATTAACTTGTCATCCCAAAAACGTGAAAAATAAATAAATAAACCTTGATTGAACCTCACTTGAATGTAACTTTAAAAACCATACACGAAGGCAGGCACTGTGTCGATCCAAGTGTGATTCTCTGCTCTTCTATATCCTTAGAAATGATCAATTTGATGTCGAAAATCGGGATGCGAAGCTGCCTCTAACGTATCATGCCAACTCTACGCCTCGCCTTCTTGTTTCTGAAGTGTCATTGATGTTGAAATTTCATGCAGACTATGGTGTATCTCATCCCAGTCGGACTTTTGTACATTATATGCTTTGGAAATGAATCGATAAGTATTCAAATTCAGTCTCATTTTAGATCTTAAAATACTTGTATCCATAGTCGGGGCTCGTCATCCCTTCTTCCCAATCACCCATTCGCCGACCACCAAAAACAACCTGTTGAATGCCCAAATATCTGCCAGAAAACCAAAAAGAAAAAAGGTGGTGAAGTTTAATTCATAGCTTTACATGTGCAATGGAGATTGAAGGGAGGGACGATGCCTACTCCAACTAATATGGATTTCGATTTGTCATATAAAAAAAAACCACCGTTGGTCCCTCTAGTTTGAGCGAAATTTCACTTTGGCTCTCTTTGTTTCAATTGGAACTTAGTTTCAGTTTTGTTGCAATTTGGTCCCTCTATTGCTTATTGTTCAAATTTTGACGGAGAAAATACAATGTGCAAAACTAGAAGAATCAAAAGTGGAATTCAAACAGAACTACAAAGGCCACCAATGGGGGAAAAAAAAAAAAAATTATACTAGTGGTCCTTGTAATTTCATTTAATTCCATTTTGGTCCCTTTAATTTTGCATACAGTGTTTTTCCATCCAAAATGTTAACGACACATGACAGAAGGACAACATTGCAACAAAACTAAAAGTACGAGATTCAAATTAAAACTATAGGAACTAAAGTAACACTCCGCTTAAACTACGGGGACTAACAATTAATTTACCCCCAAAAAATATATATTGGAAAGGCTTACTCTGAGCTCAGCAAAGTCAGGCAGTTGAGGAGCACATCAATGGCAAAGAAATCGGATGTACCAAGGTCTACCCTGTTGTATATATAATCCGTATTAGTAAGCTTGTCTGTGAAAGAAATGCCAGGGAAGAATATCATGTAGCTATCAGCAAAGAATCCAAAATTACCAAACACGGCCCCAGTTGTCCTGAAACTCGACATCACTGATGTCATGAAATGATGATGGCATCACTTTAAAACCCTTATCTGCATCATAGAGAGGATATTGCACCATTGCTGCATTTGCCAACTGCAATGCAAACAATATTAGGTTCCATAATTTCGTTTGCACTAATAAAAGCCTACCTACTAAAACCAAAAACCATAATTTACAATGAAAAAATAATCACCACACTTCCAATCGGCATCAGCCAAAATGCAATTCTAACTTGGAATTTAATCTGCCTTATCTCTCAGTATTTGGGTACAATGTGTAATGCACACACCATCACAGTCTATGCCATATTCTAATATAAAATGAATCTTGTGCTTAGAGGCTACGGCACTGATCATTCTAGTGATGCCATGTGTGAAAATATTATGACATAAAGGCCTTGTTTGTTTTCCGGGTAAAACATGAAAATCTTTCTTTGGTAACTCTGACCGTATGCAGATACCACATGGAGCATATGCCCACCTTTCTGATGTTATCTGGGAAACTGAACAAAGCATTCTCAATTTAGACAAGTCAAATTGTTAAAACTTGATGGTTGTACACATTAATGTTTTCTACACTACAAACAATTACATAATTGACACAAAGCACATTTCTTCTTTATTCAAATTACTTGAGGTGTATTTCACCAAACAAGCATGATTGAAAGTAGCTGACTATTCTTAAAGGAATTCCAGAACAAGTCTATTTTCAGTATTGCACACAACATTTTGTCATGCATTATCAGTTAAGTGACAGAACTTCTTTTTTTTAATTTTGATATGTAAATAACTCTATAATTGATGAAATTAAGCATGAAAAGAGCCAATATTGCAACCAACTTCCCAAACTTCCTAAATCAAGCCAAAGTTCTGGAGCTACGGACAGGCACTCACCATGTGGCAGAAGAACCCCTGCTTAAACTTGGTTTTAAAAATAATAGAGTGTAAGCAATGTGAGTGAGGTCGGTTGTGGACCTCTAGGAAGATGGCGGGCACTTCAATGATTGGGAATTGCAGGAGGCAGATCAGAAGAGAACCATTGAAACCATAGAGGGAGACAGCATGGCAGTGAGTGAGAGACCCTAGTCACTGGAGTAAAGAAGATGATTAGAGTTGTGTGTCCTGTTTACATGCATGGATACCCCTTTATATAAGGTCCAAAACTGTTGGAGACTAGCTCACCTACGAACTGGTGGCAGACTTCCCTTGGCCTGACAGAGCAGAGGTATCAGGTCTACTACGTCCCATGATTCAGACCTTGGGGGTCATATCATGGGAATTTCAGAGTTGGGTATAATACCTTGGATGGTGTATCATGACATGACGTAAGTGGTAGGCATATTTATCCCAAAAAAAAAAGTGGTAGCCATGATACCTCTCCCAAGCGGAAGTGGCTGAGCATCACTCCCTGTTTGGGTGCCTTATGGAAATAAGCATGAGGGGCCATGGCTTGGCCAGAGCTCATCCTAGCCAAGCTGTAGAGTGCCGCGTACTTTGACTCATCACTAAGTGCTTTGACCTGCAGATAGGGCGCCAAGCAGCTAGTGGATGGAGTTACCATACTTGGTGGCTGATATACCCCCGCTTAGGCCAAGCACATAAACCGCAATGTGGCACCCCTGAGGGCTTGCCAAGTGGAAAGGGTGAAGAACCTGACATGGGAGATGGCATGACACCCATGGGCCCCCCCCAGAGCTATACAATAATACAACTCTGGTCTCAAACATTGAAGAAATCATCTGATATTGCCGGTGTTGCTCGGCCTTGTTTGTCAATAGGTTAAAATAGCCAAAAAGTCAAAAAGTCACTATAAATTGTCACATCATTCTCTTTGTTTTTTTGCATATTTTTTCATAAAAAACTAAAAAGGTAACTAATAGCCAATTCCCAAACGATACGTAAATATCACTCTTCTCAGACGACCACTTACAACAGCAAATATACAGCTACACATGGTTAAACAATACAGAATCTGTTTGATGAGCCCCTAAGAAAGTTCCCACATAAAGACCAAATCAGTTAGGCAAGCACTTTATCTCACTAACAACCAGAATGGACATGTGCTTCCCCTCAAAACACGAACATTCCCCTCTTCCCATTTTCCTCAAACAAGAATCAGGTTAAAATACAAATCATCATTTGTGGAAATTTGTCACTACCAGTGGCTTCCAAACTTGTATCTTCTTTTTTGTTTTTCTTTTTTCTTTAAATAAAATAAATAGCTACCTTAACTTTACTAACCAAAAATAATAAAAATAACTTCATTTAATTTTTAGCAGAAGACAACATATCTTGCAATTCCAATTGTCAAATGCAGTCAAAGCATGCATGTTATGCTGTTCTAATAGTGCAGCTTCTTCCTCCAATTATTTATTATATTGGGAATTTTAATTGAAGATAAAATTTCTTATTGGGCAAAAGAAAGAAAGTACAGTGAACATTTGACATAGAAACTTGAAACCACCATAGCCTGCCTGCCTGATAACTACCAAAACCACAAGACATGAAACAACGTCAACTTATTTATTTTTATTTTTTTTATAAATAAAGATTTATTACAACGGGCATCAAGAAGATGCCAAACCAATGCAAAAGGGGCCCCAGAATGGGAAAAGACACCTAACCAATCAAAACATCTACAAAATCCAGGAAAGCAAACAAGTCCGGAAACACCCTCCCAGACACCCAACTTATATAGAACCTTAAGAAATCTACTCTCTAACCAATGTCAACTTATCAAAGACAACACGCCCAACCATAAGCATAGCAACCAAACATTTGAGAGTGAAAAAGATGAGACTTTAAGAATCATGACCAAACCTGCAGATTAGAAGAATTAAAGGCACCCAAGCGCCCCATGGCATACCATGACTGAATAACCTGGCATATCACTCAAATTGTGTTAAAAAAAATTACCATCAAAACTTAGGTGTTAAAAACAATAAAACAAGAACCAAAACTGGTAGCAAGAAGCAGAAGAGAAAGGAGAAAAGATCTACGTACACTACCAAGAAGGTCAACATCCCGATCAGATGGTGATCCATATAATTCAAACCATATGTAGGAGTCAACAGGATTGAAGCTGTGCAGAAACAAAGAAACAAACATGATCAAAATCTTCAATATGCAACATATATTGACCAACAGGGAGCTATTGGTTAAAATGGTTGTGAGTTCAAACCTTGGGGCAGCCACTGTGTGCAAATAATGCCGAAGGCCACGTCTATACCCAATCTATCTGTCCCAGACCCCATCCAATGGGGAGTAAATTGGGTGTATGTTTGTTTTCCTTTATGTAAAACATTGGCTCGAAGACATGGACGGAAACTCATATGCATAACTCATGCTCATCAATTTAAACTTAAGGTTCTATATCAAGTCAATTTATACAAATCTATATATTGTTTATTTGAACTTAATATATAAAGTAAAATTTTAATTAGCTCACAAAATAACAGTTACAGGAAAAGAAGAAGATTACATGCTGCTACAGTTGGTCCACGGATATAGAAATATAAGATGGGCACCACAAATTCCATGTATGACGCTAGAACTACATCCAAATTCCAAAGTTTGCACGTGATTTGTATCAGAACCTGATTGGGATTTGCATTGGGTGCTTTGTTGAATAATAGAGCAATTGGACTTTTATGGATTCAATTCAGGCGACTCATTGCAAAAGATTTGCATGTGTAAATTGCATATGAACTCTACCTTGAGTTTGCAGCTAAATTGAGGATCAGATGGAGTAACTGTCTCGTTTGAGTTCATTCTTTAATAAAATGTGAGCTGGCCACATATTATAAAAAACAAGGAGAACTTCCAGAAATTTCTCTAGCCATGTGTTCTGTTGGTTTTGACATCTCCTAATGTCCTTGAAAAAGTTGCAAGCATAAAAAGTGTTTGTGGACTTCTTCTTTTTTCAGATTTGTAAAAGTGCTCATAGCCTGGTCATCAATCAACTTCAAACATAAGTTGCCTTCTAAACATCAAATTTAATTCAAATATGCTAACCTAATATCAAATTTAATTCAAATATGCTAACTAAATATCAAATTTAATTCAAATATGCTAACTAAATATCAAATTTAATTCAAATATGCTAACTAAATATCAAATTTAATTCAAATATGCTAACTAAATATCAAATTTAATTCAAATATGCTAACTAAATATCAAATTTAATTCAAATATGCTAACTAAATATCAAATTTAATTCAAATATGCTAACTAAATATCAAATTTAATTCAAATATGCTAACTAAATATCAAATTTAATTCAAATATGCTAACTAAATATCAAATTTAATTCAAATATGCTAACTAAATATCAAATTTAATTCAAATATGCTAACTAAATATCAAATTTAATTCAAATATGCTAACTAAATATCAAATTTAATTCAAATATGCTAACTAAATATCAAATTTAATTCAAATATGCTAACTAAATATCAAATTTAATTCAAATATGCTAACTAAATATCAAATTTAATTCAAATATGCTAACTAAATATCAAATTTAATTCAAATATGCTAACTAAATATCAAATTTAATTCAAATATGCTAACTAAATATCAAATTTAATTCAAATATGCTAACTAAATATCAAATTTAATTCAAATATGCTAACTAAATATCAAATTTAATTCAAATATGCTAACTAAATATCAAATTTAATTCAAATATGCTAACTAAATATCAAATTTAATTCAAATATGCTAACTAAATATCAAATTTAATTCAAATATGCTAACTAAATATCAAATTTAATTCAAATATGCTAACTAAATATCAAATTTAATTCAAATATGCTAACTAAATATCAAATTTAATTCAAATATGCTAACTAAATATCAAATTTAATTCAAATATGCTAACTAAATATCAAATTTAATTCAAATATGCTAACTAAGTGTGTGAGAGAGAGAGAGAGAGAGAGAGAGAGAGAGAGAGAGGATATTACCATAAGGCGTAGGCGCACATCCAGCGAGGCAGGGATGAACCAAACACACAAACACACATACTATCTTTTTTTTTTTTGGACAGTACCAAATAGCTCCTTGCTTCCTTTCAATACCAAAGCCAATCAATGACTATAGAATTAAACAATCATGGTTTTCTCCCCTTTTTTATATTTAAAATTTAAATTTCCCCATTTCATACGTACAAATACAACAAACAATAAAATGCAGTTGTGAGGGATCTGTGTACCATTGTGGCAACATACTATCCAAGTACCATATACGGTATGCATTTCAATTCATAGCCCATATTTATTGTATTTTATTCAAGGATCAACCAACTGATGCATAACATATTTGGATCAACAATCAGAAAACAAATAAAGCAAGACATAATTATCTCAAATGATACTTCAAACAAATTTAGCATCTTAATAGGGAAAACTACTTCATCTTAATTTGATCAATATTCATGTAATCGATTTCCTTGAAAGAGAAAGAGGTATAAAAATATGTAAAAGGAAACTTACTCCCTAAAGCTGACTTTGAAAGCAAGGACAGAACCCGTTTTGGACTTGCGAAAATCTCGACCCTTCTTTCGAACCCTTTCTTCAACCTATTAAAAGTTAAACGAGCACATTATAGATTTTCCACACAACACAATACATTGATGAGTGTGCTTCAACCTCATGATAACTGTTTTGCAATTTATGGGTAGTTCTTGAAAATGCTCATTTCACATAGAGTTAAACCCGACTGCCATTTAAGCTCACAAAATCATGCCATCTCAACATAACAGAAGGCATTCTTACCCACTTGTAAGTTTTCTGAATGAAACTGTATATTAGTCTAATTAATTGAACAAAGAATACATCACTTATATAGAACGCTAATTCCTAAGCCTAAACGAATACATCACTGATATAGAATTCTAATAGAACTCTAATTCCTAAGCCTAAAAGGAAAAAAGAGAAACTGAATATAGGCATATTCTCACACCCCCGCCAAACTCAAGGTGTTTTAACAGAAAACACTGAGTGTTTGTCAAGAAAAAACCGAAACCGAGCAGTGGTGTGAGTCTTTGTGAAGAAGTCAGCAAGTTGCAGAGTCGAAGAGACAAAAGGAAGCAAAATAAAGCTAGACTGCAGATGCTGGCGAACAAAGTGACAATCAATCTCAATGTGTTTTATCCATTCATGAAGTACAGTGTTATGAGTAATTTGAATAGCACTTTGGTTGTCACAATAAAGAGAGTTCGGGGGAGACTGAAGGACACCCAAGTCAGATAAGAGAACACGGAGCCAGACAATTTCAGCAGTAGCATAAGGCATAGCACGATCCTCAGTTTTGGTAGTAGAATGGGCAACAACAGTTTATTTCATGTTTTTCCAAGAAACCAAGAAATTGCCAAAAAATACAGAAACCAAAAAGTAGATTTACGATCATTAACATTACCAGCCCAATCAGCATCAGTCTAGTCCACAGAGTCTAAGGAAGAAGTAGAAGAGAATAGCAAGCCCTGAAAGATAGTACTGAGAAGATAGCAAAGAACCCGAATCAAAGCAGCCCAATGTGTAGAGTGAGGAGCAAAAACAAACTACTAACCACATGGACAGCATAGACAAGATTAGGGCGAGTAACTGTCAGATAGACTAAGCAACCCACAAGCTCGCGATATAACGTAGGATCGTCCAGAGAAATACCATCAGTAGTGTTGAGCTTCACATTAAGTTCAATGGGGGTATCAGAAAGCTTAGTGTCAGTAAGACCGGCACGATGGATAATCTGGTTGGCATACTTAGCCTGGGACAAAAAGTAACCCTTGTGAGAAGAAGCCACCTCAATACCAAGAAAATACCGCAATAGTCTCAGATCCTTCATTTTGAAGGTGCGGAAGAGATGCTGCTTGACCTCAGAGATAACAGAAGAATCAGAACCAGTGATGATCATTTCATCCATATATAGTAAAAAAGTAACAAAACCAGTCGAGGTATGTCTTAGGAATAAAGCAAAGTCGGAAGCAAAATAATGAAACCCAAGCTCGGTAACAGAAATCTGAAAGCGATCATACCAAGCATGAGGAGACTGCTTCAAACCATACAGAGCACGCCAAAGACGACAAACCTGGCCAGAGGAATGGTGAAAGCCAGGGGGAGGACACATGTAAACCTCCTCAGTGAGATAGCCATTAAGAAAAGCATTCTTAACATCCATCTAATAAAGAGGCCAAGAACGAATAGTAGCGACCGAGATCAAAGTACAGACAGTAGTCATCTTGGCAACAAGAGCAAATGCCTCCTCATAATCAATACCATAATCCTAGGAGAAACCTTTGGCAACCAGACAAGCTTTGTAGTGCTCAAGAGAACCATCAAAATGAGTCTTGACTTTGTAGACCCATTTGCAACCAACTAAATTTTTACCAGCAAGCAAAAAACCAACTCCCAAGTACTAGTTTTTTATAAAGTAGACAACTCATCCTCTATAACTTGAACTCAATGAGGATCCTGACAGGCCTCCTTGTAAGACTAAGGTTTTGTGAAAGAGTGAATAGCAAACAAAAAAGTACGACAGAAAGCAGAAAAACATGTATTAGACCAACCCAACATGTTTTGAGGATGACACGCTCAAGGAGGATATCGATGTGCAGCAGGATCAGAGTCGTCAGAAGTAGGAGAATTAGTAGCAGGGGCAGAGATAACAGGTAGAGGAGGAGCCTTGCAACGAGAATAAACTAACAACGGAGGAGGAGAAGCAACCAGAGGTGAAGCAAGAAGAGAAGATGGAACAAGCTCAGGAGAAACTGTGGAGATGTACTCATCAGACGGGACTTCAGAAAGAAATGGATCAATATGAACCAAATCCTTTTTGGAAATTGAGGCGGTGAAAGGAGGAAGCTGAAAGTAAGGTAGACGTTCGAGAAAAGCAATATGGCGGGAGAACTAAAGGCGACGGGAAACAGGGTCATAACAGCGATAACCTTTCTGAGTGAGACTATAACCCAAAAAGACACATAAGACAGACCGGAACTAAGTTTGGTCCTATCTTTACGAGGTAAAAGGACAAAACAAGCAGACCAAACACACAAAGGAGGGAGTAATTAGGAAGTTGAGAAAACAGAGCCTCATAAGGAGACCGACCAGAAAGAAGGGGGATAGGCATACGGTGGAGAAGAAAAGCAGCCGTAAGAATTGCCTCACTCCAAAACGGAGCCGAAATGGAGGCAGAGAGAAGGAGAGACCTAGCTGTCTCAAGGAGATAATAGTGTTTACGCTCAGCTCAACCATTTGAGGCAGGTGTATCAGTACAAAAAGTTTGGTGAATGGTACCCTATGAAGCACGGGTACAGGTACGGGTACGAGTACTGGTACTGGTACGATACGGGTACGTCGATACGGTAAATTCAAAAAAAGTAGGGTACGGGTACGGCTTGGTACACTTGTAAAAAAATATTTATTTTAATTTATAGTAATGTAAAATTAATTAAATGGTTTAATTTGTTAAAATTTAACCTATAATTAACATTTAATGCCAAAAGTAAATGTATAAATCAAAATTAAATATCAATATATTTTACAAACCATAGTTTAATTTTAAAAACATACTAAGTATAAAACTAAAAATAAAAAAAGAAGTCTAGTTAAAGGGGTTTTATCTTTATAGTAAAAGAAAATATTGTTTCAACTGAAGTACGGTACGGCTTGAGTATATAGTAGGTACGTCTGGGTACGCCAAAAATTAAGAAGAAAAAATTTGGGTACGTGTTTCGTGTACCCGGTACGTATGCAGAAGTACCATACGAGGTACCATACGCCGGTAAGTACCCGATACGGGTATGGCTTGTTTTTCGAAGTACCCATGCTTCATAGATGGTACCTAATTTGGCCAAATATTCACAGAATTCAGTTTTAAAGTATTTCCCGCCCAAGTCAGACCGCAACAATTTAATAGATTGAAAAGTACGATATATCTGGTAGAAGTCAGACTTATGAGTTATAAGATAAATCCAAGTGTAACAGGTGCAATCATCAACAAAAGACACATAATATGCAAAATCCCCTTTAGTAAGAATAGGAAAGGGTCCCCAGACATCAGTATGCACAAGAAAAAAAGGAGAAACAGAAATAGATGTACTTTTATTAAATAGTAAAGCTGACATTTGGGCAAGTTTACACCCCCGACATTCATCAATTTGACTAGGAGAAACTTTACCCAACAACCTTGACTGAGCTTAAGACCGCAAGCGGTCAACAGACAAATGACCAAGGCGAGAATACTATAAGTAAAACTAACTTGACTGAAAATCTAACTAAAACAAGGAAAGTGCAGCTGGAGAGGTGGATAAGGGGAGATGCAAGCTTTCGACCACATAAAGATCTCCAACTCTACGGTTAGTCCCAATCTGCTTCTTGGACATCTGATCCTGCACACAACAAACAGAAGAGGAAAAGATAATATCAAAACCAGACGCATCAAGTTGACTGATAGATAATAAACTGACAGATAACTAAGGGACATAAAGAACAAAAGGAATAGTAACAGCAGACATAGCAGAGGGTAAGACAGACCCAATAGATAGAATAGACATACTAGACCCATTAGCAGTATTAATAGTAATAGGAACGAGTGAGGGAATACAGTTTTGAATTAAGGAAATGTGAGGAGTCATATGATGAGAGCCACCATAATCAAAACTAAGCAAATCTAAATAAAGAGAGGTAAGAGCGGAGGCAGATAGGGATGGTTGAGTGGTGGACAGGATATGCTAAAGTTGTGCAATCTAAGCACTCAAGGAAGCCAAGTCAAGATCGAGAGCTGAAGTAGATGCAGTATAAGCAGCAGGAGGCCGGAAAGTACCCAGAGTAAGACCGCAGAACTGTGTTGGAGCAGACTAACGTCTTTTCTTGGGATAGTTGTTCTTCCAATGATCCCTCTGATGGCAGAAAGCACACTCATCTGGACCTAATGGTCTTTTCTTCGGTTTTGCAGTGGCCTAAAGCTAATGAGGAGGTGGAGTCGATAATAAAGAAGGCTTAGCAGGAGCCAAGAAGACAAAGGGAGGCATAGTTTGACTAGTCGTCTTAAGACGGGTTTCCTCGGAGAGGAGCTTATGAACAATAGCATCCACAAAGGGAAGAGGAAACCGATGAAGGATGCCACCTCGGATAGCTTCATGCTGAGGGGAGAGAGCCGCTAAAAACTGCACTAAACGACCTTACTCCTAAAACTCAATATAAGTGTCCAGTATCTTGAGACTAGATGGTTCCATAAGAACTAACTGATCCCAGAGACCTGTTATCTCAATATAGAAGTCTTGAATAGTCTAATCTTGTTGACGAGCACTCTGAATAACTGTTTCCAACTTATATCGCTTAGCAAAGTTAGACTACTGATAAACATCTAGTAAATAATCCCACACCTCCTTGGCAGTACTGAACTTGGAAAACATCATTCCAATACAGTCATCCACAGAATTATGAAACCAGGTTAGAACTTAGGCATTATCACAACCCCAAGTATCACAGAAAGTCAGATATCCTTCCGCCTTCGGATCCGATGGACGAGAAACAGAATCAGAAACATCGCCCCATTTTTTTCTGACCAAGAAAGAAAATTCTTCATAACACTAGCCCAACAGGCATAATTGCCACCAATGAGTTTGCACTTGATGGCTTGAATTTTAATGTCCGACATTGTAATAAAACACAGCTATAGATCGAAGTATAAATCAAACAAATTAGGGCCTCAAGTGTAAATACCCAAAACCAACAGAATAGAAGAGTAGATCTGGAAAAAAAATCACAGAATCCAAAGAAGATGAGGGATAGGGAGAGAGAGGCGACCTCACGAAGTGAAGCTGAGCCAGAGAGAGGGACACCAACGAGAGAGAGAGAGAGAGAGAGAGAGAGAGAGAGAGAGCAGACCTTCACGAGAGAGGCAATCTCACGAAGCGAAGCTCAACCAGAGAGAGGGACACCACCGAGAGAGAGAGAGAGAGCAGACCTTCGCAAGAGAGGTTCTTCGCGAAGCACGAATCAGAGAACGAAGTCGAAGACAACCAGAGAATCTGAGAGAGCACGAATCATAGGACAATGGTGACAGTTCTAGGGTTTCGAATCAGAGAATAATGGTGATGGCTCCGATACCATGTAAGTTTTATGAATGAAACTGTATATTAGTCTAATTAATTGAACAAAGAATACATCACTTATATAGAACACTAATTCCTAAGCCTAAATGAATACATCATTGATATAGAATTCTAATAGAACTCTAATTCCTAAGCCTAAAAGGAAAAAAGAGAAACTGAATATAGGCATATTCTCACACCACTATCTATCGAACACATTTAGTAGGAAAAATTGTAACACATCAGAAAGCTACATCAAGTTCTAAGCATCCAACTTAAACATTCTTTCTTAAACTTTCATAAAGCTTTTTAACTATCCAATACATAAATTCTTCTTTGCTCAAAAACATAAAACTTGATTGGCTAAATTGGACTTGTGATACACAGCCCAGACTTCATATATTAAGATGCTGTTAATGTATTGTGGCCCTAATAAACAGAACAATATAAAATAAAATAAAATAAAGGCCACTCAGGCTATAAGTCCAATTTCAAAACTTTTGGGACAACAACTCCAAGGTTTATTCTTTTATGACCAAAAGGAAAAAAAAAAAAAACTGAAAATACCATATTACCCCTACATAGTATATCTGTCCATTTTCCACCAATTTGGTCACGTCACTTGTCCATCCACGCCACCAATATGTCTAAGTATCATCTATATCTATCTATCCACGTATCACCTATCTATCCACCTAATATTATTATTTGTCTACCTAATCTACCCATTTGTCCATATCACCACGACCACTAGTCACCATGGCTGGCGACTTTTCTGGCATCTGACGGTGATCCAGTAGGTAAAAAATAAAATAAATAAATAAATTTAAAAAAAAAAAAAAAAACTTCCTTCAAAACAATAATTTATACCTCACCAAACAATTTCATTAGACATATCCTTATCTCAATAAAACATCAATCCTTAGACTAAATACCATCTCTATAGAAATGAACTTATCACCAATTATCCCTAAATAAAAAAAAAAAAGCGAGGGAGTGGAGGAGGCATTACCCTTTTCTTCATGAGCTCAGGGTTGCCAATGCTATCACCAAGAACACTTCGAAGCTCTTCATCATTTTTGCAAGCATCTTCCAACACTCTACACAAAACACAATTAAATTAAAACACACACACCAAGCAATCATACAATAACCAACACTCAAATCTCAAACAATATGATCAAAAAAAAAAAAAAACCAATATAAAAAAAATACTTGGCCCAAGCAGGATAGTTGTGGAGACGATCGAATTCACGCTTCCTCTTCTCCTCTCGAATCCTGAGCAGTCTCCGAGCTCTCGCAGTTGTTCCAGACCCTTTCGCAGCCTTTTCATTGGAATTTCCATCGTCTTCTTCCCCAAATTTGTCATTTGAGTGCGATTTTGTTGCTGATGAATAGATTAGAAGATGATGTGTAGATGAAAAGCTCGGTTTGTAGATGGAAGAGGGAAATGCTAGAAGCTGAGCTGATGAGAGAGGTGGATTCGAAGAGAACAAGGGTTTCCATGGCGTTGAGGAGGTTTGGCAGTGATGAAGACGAAGACGCAGTGGAGTGTTTCCACAACAGTACATTATTGTTAAAAAAATATGTGTATAATATTAAAATCTACAATCCTCATTATCTCATATATATACTACCGTTTCTACCACGCAAACCTGTCTTATACGAAGGATTGTTTGGGATAGTTATTAGTTTATTTGTTTCAGTTTTTTAAATTGAATTTTTTATTTTTTTGTATTTTTTTTGTTTTTAATAAATATTTTTAAAATTTTAAGTAATTTTTTATTTTTTTAGATCTAAATAGTAAAATATTTTAAGAAATTAATAAATACACAAAAATATGAAAAATGTCTTGAATTTTTATTTTTTTTTTGGTATTTAAAATAGTGTATTTTTTAAATATTTTTTTCACAAATATTATAATTTTTAAGTATATTTATGTTGGGGTTTTTTTTTAAGGTACCTGATATTAAAATTTTATAGTATAAAGGACACTCAATATTTTCATAATGTCTAAGGTCCCTCAACATCAATCTAGAGAAAATTCGACCAAAAGAATTTCTCTCAACTTCCTAGAGAAATTCTCTTCAAAAAAATTCTGGAAATTTTTCTGGACTTTCTTGAGATTTTCTCTCCAGAATTTCTCTAGACTTCCCAAAGAATTTCTCTAGACCTCCTAGAGATTTTCTCTCCAGAGAAATTTGTGTTTTAACTCAACCAGAGAAAATTAATCAAAAATGAACCTTAAGATAAATATATACCTAATCATTATCAAATCAGAGAAAGTCCATTCAAAATCACATTTCTTTTTTTTCCCCTTCCAATATCTGAGCAAGTAAACAAATTAATAGAGAAACTAAAGCAACCAAATATCAAAAAGAAACCAACACATACCGAATTTTCTAAAGAAAATTCGCACAGTGACTAAATCCAGAAAAAATTCACACAATAGCCAAATCCAAAGAAAATTCACACGATGACTAAATCCATAGAAAATTCACATATAATCTGCATAAACCCCCAGAATCTTTGAGTAAACAATCACCACTCTCATTATCTCCAAACTTGAACAAAATTGTTAATTTTTGAAACTCCAACTTGAACAAATTCACAGAGAAATTCACATCAACCCAAAGAAATTCTTCAAAATCAGTGAAAATTTCATCTCTACCCCAGAGAAAATCTCCCTCTCCAACCCAAAAAAATTCCCCCTCACAATCTTTTCTGGTTGAAAATCATAAACCTCAGGCAAAATGTGTTCCATGGTTTACACATTGGCTCCAGAGAGAAAATTTTCTATTTTGTTGAAAAAATCGCTAATGTAGAGAAAATTCAAAGTCAGAACCATAAATGCAATAAGAACAATTAATTTGGAGTTGAAAAGTAGATTTCAAACCTAGAGAAATTCTCTATTTCTCTCTAAAGAAATTTTGATTTTGTTAAAAAAATCGCTAATGTAGAGAAAAGCCAATACCAGAGAAATTTGAACAAGGAATACCTACTAGAGAAATTTGAATAGAGAATTTCTCTGGGTTCAAACCAAAGAAAATTGAAATTTCTCTAAGTTCAAACCAGAGAAATTCTCTCCAGCCAGAGCAAATTCACAAACAATTATCACAATCAGAGAAAATGCAGAGAAATTTTACATCTTTGCCATATAAAATGCAGTACAAGTTTTGACATCTTTACACCCTTATTTTCCTCTTATTCTATATAGTAACAACAAGAGAGATTTTCCATTGGCAGCAATGGCTTGAATTACATATCCACTATCCATCAATGTGAACTACTCGGAGAGTGAGGAGTTGAGTGGCACCTCAAACAACAATCAATAATCAACAAAGTTGTAAATTCTTCCACATTCCCACATATTACACAACCCAACTTGCCCTTCAAACCTCCTCAGCAAAATCGCATTGTATTCCAATCTTATGAGGAGATCCTGTGTGATCTGAACAAGATCTTGACTTTCCAGCCAGATCTCGACTGGTGTTGATGTAACGCCACACCTGCGAAAACAATGGTGACGGTGAGTGTGAGTTCCGTTCTGTCGAGTTCCATTTGAGGGCCAAATAGAGGTCTCTGTCTCATCTTATTCTCTTTTTCTCATAACTAATGTTGCTGCCAATATCGACCACCATGTCGCCGGTGACCTGATTAGTCAAATTCCTTTGTAGAAGAAACCCTAATCTCTCTCTCTCTCTCTATACATACATACAAATAGGCAGTAGAAGCAAAATGAAGCAACATTCAGAAGACACAAATTTCTCTGTGATATATGGGTTTGGGATTAAAGGACCTTAGACATCATAAAATAATATTGTGGATCTCTTTCATTACTAAAAATGGGAGAGAGACCTAAGACTAATTTTCCCATTTATGTTAAATGTGTCAAAAAATAAAATAAAATAAAATAATTGCTTAAAATATTAAAAAAAATCATTGAAAATATTAAAATATGAAAAATAAAAAAAAATAGAAATTTCTGAAACCTGCTTTCTAAAAAACCAAAACGAAACAAAGTGTATATTTTTTGATTTTTTATGAAAACTATGTAGAAAAATAAAAAAGTGATATAATCCAAATAAGTATACTTATTTAGTTTATGTCAAATAGTACTTAAATATTAGGTAAATTACAAACAAGATAATGTTAGAGATACCGAATTTTCTATTAAATAAATTACCAAATATCTCACTTGGGTGTTGGTCCACAAAAATGTGGGGTCTACGTTCATGTGAGACATTTGGTCATTTATTTGATAAAAAATTTGAAGCTTATAGCATTTTTCTTACAAAATATGAATTGTTGATTTTAAATATTTTTTTATCATAATTTTTTATTTAATAGAATTAATTAAATAAATAAAATTTTTAATTACTTTTCTTATGTAGCATTCGAATTTTCTAAATTATTAATTTAAATATATATTTTTGATATCGTTAAAAATGATTAATAATTTAATTATTTAAAAATTTAAAAGAACAATATGTAATTTTTAAAATAAAAAAGACCATCAAATAATTAAATTTAAAATTTAATTTTATATTTTAAAATATGAAACAAAGATATTTATATTAAATAATATTAAAGTCAGATTTTTATTTTGTTTTTAAATGGATTCAAGAAAAAAGGATAATTCCAATCCAAACTTAAAAAATTACTTCAAATAACTGTATAATACGGGAAATTCTATTTCCACACATTAGTTCCTCTTTTTTCACATTTTTTCTCAATACATACACTAAATAAATTTAAATTATCAACTTCCACTCAATACACATCCTACCATACCAAAAATACCCTTACTATCTTTATCCTCCAAACCCTAATCCTAACAAGCCACCACAGCTGTTGTCGGTGGCGGCGGCACCTCTTCCCCTCCAAGGGTCACTAATCGACCCCTTGTTGGAATTGTTAGGAGAGGGAAAACACCCAACAAAGATTATAGTCCATATGTTTAACAATTTCATTTTTGTAGTAATTCAATATGTTTAACAATGTGATAGATCGTATGGAAACTATAAATTTATACATGTTGTTAAGCATTTTTAAAGACTAATTTACTATCTGGGTTGGTTGGCTGGGATGAAAGGTATTCAATTTGTGGCTATGTGACACACTGTGTTATCATGTATCATAAAGGATTAAAGATTATTGAAAATCACTTAATCTGCCTATCAATGACACTTGTAAAATTGTGCATGCAGGGAGAACAAGTTAATAGAAAAGAATCTGATTGCTTCAATGAGGAGATCAAGAGTTCGTCTGGTTGTAAGCAGGAGTTGGACAGTGATGATATGAGTTCATTTTTTCAACAACAGAAGTATTTACACAACTTGACTGAGTGTGCTCTTCGAAAGAACCAGCCCTACATTATATTGAATCTAATGCATGAGAAGTCGTCATTGTTGATGATCAAAGAGCTCAATGGTACATCAAAAGGTGGAGGGAGATCGCAGTGGTGCGCCGATCTTTTTCTCAGGCAAAGGGGGTTGTAGTGGTAAGGAAGAAGCAACCAGAAGAGTGAAGGAGAGGAGAGGCGGCGACCATGGATGGTAATGGTGGAAATTGATGGTTTGAGAGAGTTAGAGTTAGGATTTTGAGAAAGGGATATTTTGGTAATTTAATTTTAAGACAAAAATGTAATAATAAGAAAAAACCATTAAGTGTGTGGAAAGAGAGAAAGTAGTGTGTGGAAACAAAATTATCCATATAATACGAATCAAACTTGAGCATGTTCAAATTCAGACCATGTATGCCCTTAATTATTATTATTATTTTTTTTGGTTACTGCCCGTCTTTAGCCTATTTTGATAAATAAATTAAAATTTAATTTTTAATTTTTTTAAAATATATAAAAAAATAAAAAAATAATCAGCTTGTTTGGTTTTAGTTTTTAGAAAACTCATTTTAAAAAAATTTTACTTTTTTATTTTTCATATTTTTTTTGTTTTCAATGATTTTTTTAATATTTTAAACAATTTTTTTTTTTTAATTTTTAGACACACTTAACATAAATACACTCAAAAAGTATAGGGTTTTTTTTTAAGGTCCCTGGTATTATGATTTTATAGCATAAAGGACACTCAATATTTTCATAATGTCTAAGGTCCCTCAAGTTGATCCAGAGAAAATTGGTCCAGAGAAAATTGATCTAGAGAAAATTGGTCTAGAGAAAATTGGTCAAAATGAAAATAGAGAGAAATTTCTTTGGTACTAAGAGAAATTTTGTGAGAGAAATTTCTCTGAGTTGTTGCTTTGCTTGCCTTCACTCTTGGTGTCAAGCAAATAATGGGAATTTCTCTGGCCTTTTCCAGAGAAATTCTCATCTAGAGAAATTCTCCAAAGAAATTCTCGAATTCCTTTAGATGAGAATTTCTCTGGAGACAATGAGAGATCAAATCGAATAACATCAATATTGCTCTCCTTCTGAACAAGAGGTTTCAAAAATTGAATTCACAAACATTGGGTTTTATACAAATTAAGCATTCCAGGTTCCAGCTCGAAACCAACGAATTTCTCTGGACAAACCCAGAGAAAATTCAGTTCAAATGAAAAAAAAAATTCAGTTCACAATTTGGAATTCTTCTATTCAACTAAT